TGATTGGCTCTTTAATAAGTTAACTCTGTGTGGGAGTCCACAAAGGAACACGATAACTTCATCATCTCATCAGTCAGCTGAAGAACTGAACATTAGCCGACGAAGGAAAGATTCTCGGAGCCATAAAGTCTGTTCAGTAATTCCTTGTTTGGGACACGTTTTTGCATCGTTGTGTCTCAAACGTCTAAATGTGTTTCTACATTAACATTTAGCGTGAATCCATAAATCCTCCCACCGTGGCTTCAGTAGCTGCTGCTGCTGCTGCATTCGCTGGTGTTCTGGGAGAGAAAACATTAAAAGCAGCAAAGCATTTCTACAACTGCTTTGAACTGGCACACACCAAGGTAATCACACCACCGGGAGAAATGACTTTCTCCACAGAAAAGCAGTTAAATGGCATCCCCACACATTCGGCTGTGGTCAAAGCCGTGGGACCCGCCATTGTTTCATGACTTGATTCTGAAATTCAAAAAATTAGAAGTGAGTCAGACGCTGATGCTATTCGCTTCGGCTGCCAGTTTTCATTTCTACAAAACAAAGGAGAGTTGTGATATTTGGCTCCAAAGTTGCTGCTCCTCTTTTGTCCCTGTGAGAATTGCAAAGCAGCTCTGAAGCGACGGCGGGATGCCTCCGTCGCCGGCACAGCGGCGGAGTGTCACAGAGGGACGGGCACCTGACCTTGAGAAATCAGCGGCAATCCAACACTTTAATGTCTATTTCACACACCATTTCATTCGGATGGATTTAAAACCCTGAACGGCCATCTCCACAGTTGTTACGATCAACATTTTGACATCCATAACGTCCGGCGGCCGGGATGCTCGGACGCCGGCTCTGCGGCTGCACCGTGAGGGGGGGTGTGTGCGTGGGAGGGAGAGCCGGTGTGGTCTTCCCATCGCTACGGTAACAGCTGCGATGGCAGCCGCTATGAGGAACAGGCGTGTCATTGAGTTTCGATGATGTCACCGGCTTGGCGCGGCGAGCAGATGGGCCGGGCCAGGTACAGAACCTGCCGTTAGCAAACACATACCAATAAATACCGGCTCGAACACAAACAACCACATTATGCTTTTCCCGCGCACACACACACACACTCCATCACGTCTCTCATGCATAAACACCTTTTCTCTGGGTTTGACAGGCTGCTCCACCCGCTAGTTTAAGATGCGACACATTCCTCCTAATATGCCCAAAGAGCATGCAGCCCTAATCTAATTACAGTGTCAGTCAGCAGAGTGTTCACCCAAAGAGAAATTAGGAAAGCACAAAATCTACAAACAGGAGAAAAAAAAATAAAAAAATCTCCCTGCAAGCATGTGGCATATCTACCCCCACCACCACCGCCGCCCCCTCTTTGTGATGTTTTTTAATGGTTTCACAGTTACCCCTGCTGAGATTTATTACCTGGCCTAATTATAAAGGCAAATGAAATCAGTTCGAGACATTATGAACAGAGAGCCGCTATTAGGATTCATTTGCAGTATTTGCAGCCACAATATGGTATATTCTGTTTGATAAGGAATAAAGAAAAGGTATATGAGCGTGATCGAGGGGCAGGAGGGTGGGACAGAGAGAGAGGTGGAAACAGAGACAGAGGGTTTTGTTGGAGGAGGGGTGGATTAAAGAGAGTGCTGGCTTTTCCACTCGAGGAGGTATCGATGCCATATTGGATGCAGCTACTTATGAACAGGTGTGCTGTGTGTGGTCACCGTGACCCGGGCTCCGCTTCCTGCATGGCTACACATCCGATGGAGGTGTACCGGAGCCGAGCGGGGAGAGGCAGGCGTCAGCCCCCGTCGGGTCTAAGAGGAAGGGACGGTCGCACTGCAGACCGGCGGGCGGGCGGACGGGGATGCAGCCCAAGACCACGGCTTCAGAGTGTAAGCAACCATGAATAAAAATGGACTTTGCAGGGAAGTAGGGCTCATAATTATTCGTTTTAAATCAGTTAAAGCCTTTTCTCAAATATCCCCTAGGAGGCGTGGGGTTAAGAATCCATTTGTGGGAAGTGTACCATGACAGCGAGCTCGTCTCCCTGGAGACAGAGGATGTGACAGTGGGGAGCGTGCACGTGGCGGGTGAGGCTGTATAGATCTGTATATGCATGTGTGTGTGTGTGTGTGTGTGTGTGTGTTGTTATGCATGTGGGGTGTTTGAATGTTTGCAAATTTGAGAGTCAGCAGAGCACACAGGCTCACGAACACGCCGTGTTTCTGCTGTTTCAGATTTCAAGAGCGGATCTGGAGTGTTTTAAAGGTCAGCTGCAAGAGAACACAACGCGATGCTCAAGTTGCTCTGACCTGTGAAACAAAGCAGACTGGAAGCTCCCAGATAACACCGCAGACCACCAAAACAACAGGAGTGAGCGGCTTCAGTGTGGCTTCAGGGTTCTGTGTGTGTTTTTATTATTTTATAACCACATTGTCTCTGTGATGCTGATCACATTGTCATTAAAGGGTCACAAGTAAAACTGTTGAACAGACGGGAAACGGGCAGATGACAGGAAGATAAACCAGTCTGCCTGGAAAAGAAAAAGGGGAATAAAGACAGAAGGCATCTTGGGAAGCAGGGAGAGGAGCGTGTGTCCTACTTTACCGTCACACCGTCCTGCCATACGTGCTCCTTCTGCAGCAGCTCCGCCTCCTTGGCCAGTTTCTACAAGGAAACACAGAAACAGCAGCAAGTGTGAGTATCAGGAGTCAATCAGACATCGATCGGTGTGTGTGAACGACGGGGATGTTGACCTCGTTCCCTACAAACACCAGAACGGCTGCAAACGAACCGCGTAATTCAAATGATCGAGCCTGAAACAACTGAGTTAGTCTAAATGAGAAAACAGCACCACATTAAAAACAGTTTGTTTTGAAAGTTGCACTGGAAGCTGAGAAATAATTCAGAATCAACAAGAGCGACTTTTAAAAGAATTATCGATAAATTATTATTAAATACAAACTGAAACTGAGGGAATTTGAAGACCATGTGTTGAAAATGTCCTTATGAACACAAAATGACTAAAATGAGACACAAACTCACCACAATGACCACAAAAGAGACATAAAACAACTAAAAAGAGACACGACATCGCTGAAATAAGACACAAAACTACTGCAACGAGGCACAAAATGACCACAAAACACACAAAACAATTTAAACAAATAATAAGACACAAGAAGAAAGATGCAAAATGACCACAAACAACGACAACAGAATAATTAAAATGATCACAAAAGACACAAAACAACTAAAAAGAGACACAGCACAGCTAAAATAAGACAAAACGTGGCACAAAATGACCACAAAGAACACAAAACAACAACCACAAGACGCTAAATGATCCCAATGAGACACAAAGCATCTAGAAAGTCATACAACTTAGCTGAAATAGACACAAAACTACCAGACATCCGCACAAAATGATGACAAAATAACCACAAATAGACACAAAATGAAAGAAATAAGATGGAAAATGACCACAAAGAACACAAAATAACTAAAATGAGACACAAAATGATCACAAATGGACACAAAACAACTAAAAAAAGAAGAAAGAAGATGCCCTTGTGTATGATAACTTGTACCAGTAGCTCCAGCTCCGGTCACTATCAGTGAGGTAAATCCACATCACCACACTTCCACTGACTGATCTTGACATTTGCAGGTTAGCTGTGTGTCAGCTGTGAGCACTGACTTGATGCAGAGTATTGACTGTGCACATGATACCTCAGACACTACCTAAGCTTTTCCACTCAGTTCTGAAGTCCTAGCACCTTCCCACAGCTTCTTGTTTTCACTGTATATGTATTTAAACCATCTGCGCAGACACATTGAGCTCCTCGCTGTCTGATTTTTAAACATGGCGTCCAGTTCACAGAGCAGGTGTAAACAGTAGTTTGAGTGAATGTTAAAGTCTCTTCTCACTCATTGATTAACTCCTTCCTGCCTTAAAACGCACCAGGTTACAACGGCTTCCTTTAGAATGTGCACATCCATCCCATGCAACCGTCTGCAGCTGAAGCACACCAGCTCACCTCCGACACCAAACAAACGGCTCCACATGTCACGATTACAAGTTGCAGGTCGACAGGATTGTTGTTTGTTGCATAAGAAACTCCTGAATCTGTGTTCCTGAGACCAGTTTGTTTGGTTCG